TTAATTAAAATGTAAACACATATTATGATATACAGGAGTAGGTGAATTGGGGTCTGTGCTTCTTCCATCAAGCTGCATGTCAGAGCACAACTTCAGAAAATACTTCCACTGTTCACAGTGCCCTGGATAAACTATTAGAAATGTTACTCCCCTTCATTTTCGTAGCTATCCGAATCTAAACATGGAATTTCATCATAGGATGCTGATCTCTTAGGTAAGGAGTTTTTACTTTTCTAAAAAGATGTAGATCGTCTAATGCTTGGGTTAAGGTTGAGGGCATTGTTAAATTTGCACCTGGGATTTTTTTAAACAGTATTTTATTAAATGTTTAATAAAGTGTAGTTTGCAGCTTTGACCAGCAAGTGGAGCTGAACTGGAATAAACAGATGAGTTAAACAGTCATTGCAGGTATCCAGAACTGCAAAATGTTATCCTACAACGTGTGCAAGTGTCAAATCCTGGTTGAGGGGGCCCTTAGTAGGTAGAATAGTGCAAATAAGAAATAGTAGTTATATTGATGAGCAAGGGAGTAAAATATCTGGAAAATATATCACTCTCCTCATTATATACCTACAGAATTCCAAGATTTGGCCAACTGGCTAAATCGCACTGTGTTCTCAAGGGGTAAAATCACTCTATTTAAAAGGAACCTCTCACCCAAGATCTCAAAAAGCAAAATGGAGCAGTACAGCTAAAGAAAGCATGCAAGAAACTATAGAGACTGTCAGGAAAAGTGTAGAATAAAAATTGGAGTGATTTAAATGAAATGAATGACGACTTAGTTGTAATTCTGCCACCAAACTGGGTGAAAGGATTACTGTGATTTCTCTACACTCCTGAAGTCTGCTCCTGTAGCTTCTTGTCCTGTGAGCACCAAAAATATCTATTTTACCACTATTTTGCTTTTGAAATTCACCATACATTAGACCCTCATCTCACTTGGTGTGAATGGTCACAGCACTGCTGACTTGAATAGAACCTAAAACAATTTACAGAAGCTAAGAATGTGGCCTCCAATATATTTTAAAACTCTTCTTCTGGGGAAAGAAAACCTTACAGGCTGTACAAGCCTCTATATCTTCTGTTTGCATCCCAAATTAGACACCCTAAACTCCATGCTTTGGTATGCTCAGGATTCTAGAAATAAAATTAAGCTTTTAACAAGGGCTTTTATCATAACTTTGCCAAGAATGCCACCTCATTCCTCCGTTCGGTTGATAAGAAAGCATATTTGTTTAAATAGGGAATCAAATGAAATTGATTCACCAAACACCAACCAGACTTTCTGTGAGTACGAGTACCTGTGGGATATGGAGCTCATCACACTGGATACACTTTCATGGGAGCTTCTTGTTAAAATATGAGCACCACTTCATTGGCTTGAAGTCTCGCCTTCCCCGTCACAATAGGCATATATGTTCAGAGAGACTAGTTCAGCTGATATCCTCGGATTTTTCCCTCATTCTGTCTTGCCATCACCTTTGTAAACCTGCTGCTATAACTTATCTGTACCTGCAGTAGCCACAAGGAAGAGAACCCTATCCAGTGTGGTGTTTTTCCTTCTGTATTGGCCTTGGCTCCTCTTTTTTCCCCTGCTTTTTTTTCTCTCAGACCATTTTATTGGTGTAGTAACTGTAACACTTGGTAAGATCAAAGTGTGATCAATTTCAGATTTCTCTGTTGCCAAAGTTTATGAGGTAAGTGTTAACTGCTTGCTTCGAGTGAAACAAACTGCATGCTTTTAGTCTGCCTGTTTATAAGCATGCGGGGCTAGCATCAGTTTTCAGTCTGACTCAAACCCTGCAACAGCTGTTTCATGTTGTGTTTCACTTGTATTACAATTAGTTTTTTCTAGACTCCTACACCCCTACCCCAATATTATTTCTTGTCAAAATTCTTTCTAATATCCATAGTGATCTTGGGATGGTGGAGAGGAAGTATAAAGGGTAAGATTGAGAAGGAGACACAACTGATACTGGCACATTGGACATCTCTTGGCATTCTGAAACTATACTACAACTTTAAACCTCATGGGATCAGCATTTAGGATCTAGTCCTACAAACACACACGCACTAGGCTATGTACCTGTAAGTTCATTGTGAACTCCAGGGGACTTATGGCCATTGTGCTGTGTGGTGCATACTCTATGCTTTAGACATATGTAGTCCCATGGCAGCTTAGACACTAACAAAAAGATACAATATCATGAGCTTTTGTGGGTAAACCTCACTTCATCAGATGAGCTGGAGTGGAAATAACAGAACCAAGATAATATTTATAGTTGGGATGGGGGGGTACCTGTCAGTTGTTGGACTGGTGCTAATGAGGCTAAATAAGTGGACTGGAAGTGTCCCATTATTAGCTTTTGATGTAAAAATGCCATTGTTATACGCAGAGGAATTGTATTCTAATACAGGCAGTCCCCGAATTACGCAGATCCGACTTATGTCGGCTCCGCAGATACGAACGGGGATTTTCTTGCCCAGGACGACGGGAGCAGCGGACGCCCGGTCCTGCCGCCCCCGTCCTCCGGGGCGAGAAAAGCTGCTCTGCCTCTCCCTGGTCTGCTGGGGGAGGGAGAGAGAGGAGCCAGATCAGCGCCGCGGTCCCGCCCGGGTCCTCCTCCGCTTTGCTCAGCGTCTCCCTGGTCTGCTGGGGGAGGACGCAGCTAGTGCGCCCTCCCACTCCCCAGCAGACCAGGGAGACGTGGAGCAAAGCCCCTGGACCAACCCAGCAGCACCCCAGCTGCTCTGCCCCAGGCGTCCACAAGTCAGCCACTGCTGAAACTGACCAGGGGCTGACTACAGGAAGCCCCTGCCCCAGGCTTCCTGGAATCAGCCGCTGATCAGTTTTAGCA